TCGAAAGACCACAAACCTGTATAACCCAATCAAATTGATGTCCAAATTGTTTGATTGATGTGAGTTTAGCCCTATAGACCTGCGAAAACATCTGCAAATTGCATACCATTTGACTCTGCATTCCCGGCAGTCCTTCACTGTTACACACCTTTCGATATAAAACAACAATTAATTTGAATTAATATTCATTTCAACTAATATTCGTGTGTCTCTCACTTCATATCCTTTAGGGACGTCTGAATCAATCATCAGTGATATAATATCTGCGTCTTCGGTGTCGTCCACTTCGAGAAGAACACAACTTTCTTTATTGCCATTATTTAGATCTATCTTAGGGTTAGTACAGATGTCCATTAAGACATCACTGGAGTCGTCGTTGTCATCGTCTTTGTCTTCAACTTTAACACCGTTTTGTGATTGATTAGTATTGGCGGCGATGTTATAGTGTTCACGATTTCTGGCAATACTTTCCGTAATTAAACCTTGAATTTCGCTCAGTTTCGCGCACTGAATGCCTTTTCCGGACGATATCTTAGGAGGCGATGGCGGCAGTTATTGGCGGCGATGTTATAGTGTTCACGATTTCTGGCAATACTTTCCGTAATTAAACCTTGAATTTCGCTCAGTTTCGCGCACTGAATGCCTTTTCCGGACGATATCTTAGGAGGCGATGGCGGCAGAAGTGGTGAGAGGAAGGCTCCGGTGCCCGTCGCCACCGCTATCAACATATTCTCACCGAAAGACACCTGAACTGAAATGCCAAACAAACCGTTCATTCCTTTGACTTTCAATTTACTCAACAGTTGTCGATGTAATTCGTATTCCAAGAATGGAAGTCCCTATCAATGAATGTCATAATTAAATACAACGAGAAGAAAGAGTTATGAAATTAATAATAAATAATACAAACATCGGATATCTCTTTAGCGCACTGTTCCCCCTTTGACTCCTTTTTGGATCGACAGACTCGGGCCTGAATGAGTGTCCCGTGACCTAAGATCGGGATCCCTTTGGGCGGCTCTATCGTCATGAAGAGCACGTCCGGCACTTTGGCTCTCTTGCAGATCATGCACTTGACTAGAGTGGCCGGGAATGGCACCGATGTCTCCGAGTATGGAATGTGACACAAATGACAACAACCAATACCTTTGTCTTCCGTGTGATTTTGCGCCGCATTGATGTCAAGTTTATGTGTTTTATTAATTACATTGTGTTCGGCGTCAGAATTGGATTCTTTCTTATCATTTACAGACATAATGTTTGCATTTGTCGTCAAATTAGAGATGTGTTCGGAATCACCGGTTTTGAGAACAGCGGCCGTTCCAGAGGCCGACAAAATGCATATCTCATCGTATATATGAGTGGCTTCGGTGTAACCCAACACTGCATTACAGGCCAGCGCTCTATTATGCGAACGAATCTCTTTCCTAAGTTCAGTCCACCAAATGTCACGCGTCTCGGGATCTTCCGGATTATTGATTTGATCTAATCGTGTGTCCATTTAATACATGTAATCATAATTATGAATATTCGTAAAACTAATACCTAATAGTTTGACAGAACGGGCGGAAACAACACCTCCGATATGGAGTATAAGGTTTGATGGAAATGACTTCATTGTTATGAACGGATATTCCTATTAAATAATCATTTTGTCAAACAATTTGTTTCAAATATAAGCTCAACTCATACTAAGAGATGAAGACTTTCGGGCGAAATAATATATTTACGACCAGAACTACCGCTTCCGCTGGAATTACTCAATCCTGAGTGCGCTTTAGGAGTGGAACCGCTGAGATCGGGCTCTGAGAGTCGTCGCGGTCCGTAAACTCCCAAATGTCCGGTTCTCGTGGGAGACATCATTTTATTGGGCGTCAGAATGGGTGCCGTCATTGGAATCGTTGGTGTGGTTCTTAGCGGCGGCGAAGAGGAGACCAACGCATTGTCTTCGTTAAGGTTTGGAGACCTACTGTTCTCGTGGGAGACATCATTTTATTGGGCGTCAGAATGGGTGCCGTCATTGGAATCGTTGGTGTGGTTCTTAGCGGCGGCGAAGAGGAGACCAACGCATTGTCTTCGTTAAGGTTTGGAGACCTACTCAACGAAACGGTACTGTAATCATGACGAAGAGTGTCTGGTTGTGTAGTCGTGGGCGGCGTTGCGGTCACGGGTTGTGACGCAACCCGTTTTAAGGGCTTAATTGGCTTATAATCGGTCACTGGAAGCGTTGTTTCCGCTTCGAGTGATTGGCCAGCGATCGGCCGTTTCTTTTTCACTGACTGTCGGAACAGTTTGAATAAAGACGACGAGAATCTCGGAGTAGGAGAAGGGGTTCTACGGATTACTGGCGGAGAGGGTGTGGAAGAGTTGGATTTTGACGACCACTTCGGGTTTATTGAAACGGTTAGGTCTGACAGAAACGCAACACCGATTGGACACAAACATTGGCTATCATTTCAGTTCATTCGAGTCATTCGAGGTATAGATTTAAGAGTGAAAACAGAGTGATAGCCAAAGAAAGAGAGAGAAAGAAAGAGAAATACAGAGAAACATCGGAATCAATGATTGAATTGATAGATAAAATATGGCAAACAATGAAAAAGTAGCGACACTTTGTTGTTTTACTAACGCTTATCGGATTTTGTGGGTTATATATTCACGCGTTTTAATCATGTATTTTATAGTTCTTTGGATTAAACACTTACTCTGAAAAGTTGGCAAATTGTGCCGAAAGGGAAGCCGAATGATGACTGGTTTCGACTTTATTGAGGAGAACAGCGGTTCCGATACCTCTGACCACAATTCCAGATTCGCCCTCCATATCGAAGTATTGTTGATAACTGTTTGTCAAATTTAAAAAAAAACATTTTTACATAAAATCTATTTTAATGTAAAGTTTTGTTAACAAAATAAAAACTAAAAGCAATAAATCATTTGAGCATTAGTTGACAAATAACTTCAAATGTTATTCAGTTCACTATTTTTAACACATAACAAAATACTGCATAAAGCAACTAAAAAGTGCAATACAATTGTATTACAAAATTTTAAAATACATTTTCCATTTAATGCCAAGTATTACATGAATAACTCTATTAATGCTTTAATAACTTATATACGGAATTAAACACTAAATAAAATAATATAAAATTGAATAAAATATTAATGGCTTTATCAGAATATATGAGATTATATAATCCCAAAGGCATTGCACACAATCGACAGTATATTCTTCACACAAACAATAAATTATAGGTTTCATTAAAGTGTACACAAAGTGAATGAATCCATACCTGACGACAGCATTGCCGCCCAAATCGATGGCTTTAATGCCGATCTTTCGCTGCACTTCACCGGAAATCTTGGCGAAGAGCGCCTGTCGGGCCTCATTGGAGGCTCGAGGGGTCCGTATCTTATCGATCCATTGATATTCCGGGTCGTGATTAACAACCAACTCCTCGACAAACCCCAGAATCGCTTCGCATGAATAGCCCGACGGAATGGCCGGCGAATAGAAGAACTTGAATCCACACGACGACTGCCGATAGCGGTTGGCGTCGGAAAAGAGGGCCACTTTCACCACGCAATTGATTTCGCCGCGAATGCCATGCATTGTGTCGTATATCGGGAACCAACCGCTCATCACATGCCGCGAGTCTTTGCTGAGCAACGGATTCAAGTCGATGTATATCTTGCCGATGGCATCGTTGGCCGAATACGTGTCGTAATCCATGACACGGATCTGTAAGGGCTCGTCCTGTAGCTCTTCGTCGTCCACTTCGAAGCGGAACCACTCGGAGTTCCAGAAGGGGTTCAGCGATCGGCGATACACTTCCGTTTTGTATGTCGTGTTTCCCAACTTTACCTACAATTCAGCCAATCATTCAATCAATCGTCACTCGTTTGGGAACCGATGGACGAGACGAAGGCATACCTCGACGAAGGCGTCGGACGTGTCGGAGGACTTGTCCATAACGGGTAGATTACGTCCGGCCAATACACGCACCTTAACCTTACCCGGCATTGCTGTCCACCACTTGTCCACCACTTCTTCATACGATTGGCGGCGAAGACATCGATGTCTTCATGAATACCGTATTTATGACACTATTATCGCGAAAACACATCAAAAGACTAACACTTTTATTATGCTTTCAATTCATTGATTACATAATATTTATAATATTGTCAAACAATGCGTTCAACGCATGCGTCAACAAAGAGTGCCTTTAATAACGCTAAACGCGTTTAAAGGGCTCTCAAAGCGCTTTCAATGCATCACTTTTTCAAGTCTCTCATTATTATGTCATTATATTTCATATACACCTATATATACGGGGGGTATATATGGAGTACGTGTGGGCTATATATAGGGGGTATATATACTGTATGTGATATATAGGGGGCATAAGTGGTGTGGGAGGGGGTGGAGGGGTGTATATGAGGGGCGCCTCTACTGTAAGTGTCATAAAAGTTGTGCAAACAGTTCGTGTATTGACTCATGTGTTGAACTTTTGACTCGAGTTCCAAACGATCGCAAGTATTGAATGCATTGAAAGCCATAAAAGTAATGATCACTGAATTAGTTGTCATTTAATCCACGCTTTAATCCATTCAACACTTATATCGCAGACCCATATCTGTGGTGATTGTCATAGCATTTGATCCCAGAGTCCACACATTGAGATGGCATCCAATTTAGAGGCCAATAAATACCGTTACAGTCAGAAAGGTTTGTGTGTTTTCTCTATATATCGCTATCTCTTTGCCAATCAGTGGTTAATTGTGTTGTCATTTCTAACCGCCGAAGAATACCGACGACTGCTTCGCGAAGAGAAGGAGCGACACATCGCCGAAGAGTACCTCCGAAAGCGAGGCATTCATAATGTGGAGCAACTGTTTCCGCCGGCGCCGCAGCCGACCGG